AACGATGCCACCGATGCCATTCATGGACTCATACGGTCAGTTTGATCGCCGGACTCGATCATGAATTACAAACCGACTATATCAGTTCACTAACGATCTATAGTCCATTTCAAATATTACTTGCGTTATTCTTGAGATATGTTATTACCTACTCCCTACGAATCTTGCGGAGAGCTTTTTGCGAATTGTTCGCGAGATTCAGTTGTAAACATACTGAGTTTGGCTTGAATTAAGTGAACAACTCAGAAGTTGACCAACTATTCAAGTTACTTAGAAACATGTTCATTTCATTGTGACCAAATCGGTATTCATCAGAAAAATTTTATTTGTGATCATTTGTCCAATGCAATTATCGTCATAATCCCAAACAATCATTCCCAAGCAAGCAGACAACCATTGATGATCTGATCATCTACTCGAAAGAAGAAAGAGAAGGACACCATTGGAAGGAATTCTCGAAGAGAATAGTATCTGAACCACTTTTCTTCACAACACTTCAGCAAAATGTTCGAATTCATCTCATTTACAGGCATCAATACCGTACCTGAACTACCACCTCAGCATGAATCAAAATATGCCGGTCAGTTCGCACCGGACGGTACTTACATTGGAAAACCGCAACTTCGTGTTGCGTACATGAATCGACCAAGACGCTCGCCATCAAATAACGAGGTACTGTCTCGTTAAGAATTTCAACCGACTCTGTTTTATCAGTCATTCATGAATAGAGCATTTCTGCCCTTGAGACCGTTCGGCAAGCTTCTATTGAATTTCTCGAGGAAGTGAGTACTTTCGATTTTTATGAATCTTGCTCCAGTGAATAAGATCACGGTTTTTTCTTCAAAGTTGGATCTGTTATAGGATCGAAAAGCGGAGCATGAGAACGGTTACCGTCGAAAATCACCTAAAATGCGCTCTCTCAATCACTTCCCATCAGCAACTCGCTTTGCTGCAACAACAACAAATGGAGGTGATCACAATGAGGTGAGTAGATCACTTCATTGAAAAAATCAGTTTTCTGAATCAACTCAAACTGACAGAAGTGCTGCGGGAGCTCGTACTTGCATTTTCCAGCAAAGAAGTCTCTGCTTGAATGAGAGTCAGGGAAACAAGAGATTTAAAATCTCGCCAAATATGTATTATTCATTTGCATATGTCAGTGGTTCTCACATAGGGTGAAATTACACATTTTGGGTGATGTCGAGGGTAATGGAGGGGGTGATGAAATTAATATTTCGTGTAATTGTTATGTCATGATAAAACGCCACTGTGATGGTGTTTTTTACCTCGGGTAGGTAAATGCGGTTAGTTGATGGCAACACTCTTCATTCTCCTATTTTCTGAGTATCATTAGCTCATAAGTGCCTAACAGGGTTTTCATTCGTTTTAATAGGGTTCTCATTCTTTTCGTTGCTGTTCCAATCGCTCTCATAGCACCAAAAGTGTTCTCTTGTGCTAATTTCTCATTCATTTCACTCAACAGTTAAAGTCAAATTCTTCGGACCTGATAGGGTTTTCATTCTTTTCCTTGCTGTTGTAATCGCTCTTATAACTTTTATCAGCCAAAAAGTGTTCTTTTCATTCTTTGCCTTGCTGTTACAATCGCTCTCATAGCTTTTATCATCAAAAGTGTTGTGTTTCGCTGCTATAATCACTCTCATAGCTTTTATCACCAAAAGTATTCTCTTTTGCTAATTTCTCATTCATTTCACTTAACAATTAAAGTCAAATTCTCATTCTTTTAAATACACTCTATAATTGATCATTCGACAATCGAACATTGTTGAGCAATGATGTTCGATTGTTGTATTGTTGATTTCGGCTGTCAACACTCGACAATGTATCGAGTAAATGGTATAGGCTACAGAATGAGAAGTTGATTCGAACTGTGAAGTGAAATTGAGACGAAGTGAATGATAAAAACTCATCAATAGAACGATATTCACATTTGATAGCTATGAGAGTGAATACAACACGTCTGAAAAGAATGAGAATCCATGCAAAACAGTTCGAATTGTGCGTGTCACAGACAATAGCCTTTCATGCAATCATAATCGATTGCAATAATGAGCAACACAACATTCTAAGAGGAAGTCCAGCGTTGTTAAATACCATCATGAACGACGTGCTAATGAGACGTTATACGTAGGAACAGTAAGTTCTTGTATCAAGGGAGGGGAAAGTAACGGCGGTCGGCTATATCATCAAAAGGGGTAAGGAGCACCTGAACGTGAGAACCACTGGTATATGTGATCCAATACATCAGCAGTAGGTAAATCTTATTCTGATTTTTTTGCACTGGAACGATCGAAATAAAGTGGATGAGTTCATTCGGTTGTTTTTAACAACTGAACTCGGAAGCTCGCAGTTCCTCATGAAACACTGATTCTTTCATTCTATTGTAACCAAGAAATAGGATAGCTGATTGCAAAATTACGTCAGATATATCTTTTCATCGCTGATCAAAAGACGCACCGAGCAGAACTTCAAACGGCTCAATTAAATGAGATGAGTACAACGATGGCCTTCCTGATCAGGCATTAATCCATATCAAATTCTTTATGCCTGAAAAAGACTGATGGATTTCCGATGAGCAACGCACTTATTGCCTGAAAAGGAAACTTTTAAGTTTGGAAATTGAGAGTCAGATGTCAATANAACAGATATATTAATTGTTTCAGAGAGAGCAAGGCGATCGACGAAGACAGCAACAATTCCAGACGATCTCACGCACTCATCGAATATCTTTTCCTGACAAGAACACTCGAATTGTTCCAAGCCAGCAAGCTACGCAAACAGGTTGTCACAGTTGATCTCTAAGGCGATCATAAACCGAAAACCGTAAACTTTTCTAAAAGCGCGTACACGTTTTTGCTATCTGATTAAGATTTGTGATACTGTCCGACATTCAGGTGAGTT